GCCAGCCCGAAAAACTCTGAAAACTGTACCACTATCATAAATGTATAGATTGGCAGCGTTTTTAGAGGACAATTTCTGACTTTGGGATCTCAGTTAAGCAACGCAGCTGCAAATTTCCTTTATCAAAAAAAATTTTTTCTTCGAAGAACTATAGCTACATTAGAATCTAACTTGGACTGCGTCACAACAGGCCAAAGAGAACTTTCAAAAAAGTATTTTAGAGCGTCTTCATAGCAATAAAAACATTTTCAACAAAAAAAAGTGTAGCCATGACCAGACAAGTTTCCCAAGCTCAGGAGAGTTCTTTTTTTGCAACGAAAAAAGTTACGGATGGAAGGAGAAGGAATTAGAATATGCACCATTTCACAATGATTATTACTGCGAAAGCGCACGAAAAACGAGTATCTCATGACACTTTTGCAAAAAAATTGCCCTATAACTTCTATGAAAAATGCATCGGACTCGAAACGAGTCACAGTACCACCGGGGATTCTCATCCACAATCTCAGCAAGATGCTGGGATGGCCTAAAAGATAAAGAAGTACCTCGATGGCAGAAGATTTGCTTTCCATAGCTGATTTGAGGCGAGCTGCTGAGTGATGGCAACCGTAAGGATTTTGCACGAAACGTTTACGACGTCTCGAATCATCCTCCCATACATCCAGTTTCCAGAAAATGTCACTGAAAAGAGTCAAAGATAACAGATTAATACTCAGAAGGCTACGGCACGATGAACTCAAACACGTCTCAAAAGAAAAGTTATAGTAATCTCGCGCAGTACTTTTTCTACGAGATATGGTGAGATTTTTAGCAAAACAAACTAGTGTTTGCTAGGATCAGCCCATGCGCCGCCAGGATTTGTCAGCAGAGTTGTCAGTTTTTCCATAAGCCGCGCCGACACGAGTAAATCTCGTCGTCGATTTGCCGTTATTAAATGTTCGTTTACTTGTTCTTCTTTTCGGCGTCGATGCATCTGTTCAGCAGCATCACTCTGCAAAGAAAGATTCCTTTTAGTAGGAGATTTGTTGATTTTTTGGAAAGACACGAAGGTTCTTTAGGATGTTGTAAGTGAACCGTCCTTCAATGATATCCGCCTGGTATTTTAGAACTTTCACGGCTGATAACGCTAAGAGGCAGGAATTACATCTCCGTAGCATGGCTTATGCAAATGGCAACAGAAATTCTGCATGACCGAGTAGGTATACGTCAGAATCAGGCCTACCAGTGGTACTCATGTTCTCCAGTGAGCGAACGCGTAAGAAACTTGCAAGGACAGAAATGCAGACCAGTAATCGCAAAAATGCAGGAAAACGTTCAGCAAAATCGCTAGTGCTACCGGCGTTAAGTTCCCACTATCACTCAGACAACGCTGGCTTTGTTCCAGGACACCCATCTGCATTTTATACCCACTCTCTGC